CTTATGTGATCAACAGTCATAAATTCATCCTTTATAAACACACTCCAAAGTTGTTTCAGGCCAAAAAGTCAGCCATCTCGCTCTCCAAGATGCCCAGTACACTTGACACCCCTCGACCTACTGAACATCTATAAGAGGTCTTGGGACTGGTCATTATCTGATAAGTTGAACTTCTTTTCATTTATTTGTAGGGTTTTCGGTTTGTTTCAGGGTTTTTAAAAATAATAATATATCAAATATATGGAATCTATTCTAAAGCGGGTGTTGCATGAATGTATGTTTACATGGGGAAATTACATATAAATGAATCAAAAAAGCAAAGATTACTATGAATGCTGATTGCAGATGAACAGACTCTTGGTTCATCAAGAGTTTGATTTTTTGATTTTTCCAACCAATCTCTCACCCTTCATGATCCAGCAGCAAGTACGCTCTCGACAGCTGCAAGGCTCTAATTGGTCAAGGATCTCTTCTACATCATGTCTTGTTTTATTCGGTCTTTGCTCTCTCGATCTCAATGCTGCTGCTCGATCGCTGCAGTGCTGCCTTTATTTTGATCTGAGAACAGAGAGTATGGAAGACCTGACCTTCTCAAACACCCCTCGCTCCATCCATTTGCCTGTCTTTCTTTAGCTCCATATTATACTCCCACACTCTTATCTTTTATATTATGTGTATTATTTTTTAAGTTTTCTTCATGTGCACTTAAAATGAAAATTATATTTTGGGGAAAAAAAGGTAATGGGTCATGCTGAATGAAAAACATTTTTCATATTCTTTATTTGTTCATTTTGTCATTGGCATTGGATGTTAGAAGAATTCAAAAATGACAATGTAAAATCTTGTATCATTTATGAAATGTGTATAAAAGAGAAATGTAATTCAATTATCAATAAACACTTATCCAGTTTTGGAACCGGTAGTGATTTTATTTATTTATTGTAAATTCTAATTATTTATAATGCAACATTTTCAAACGTAGTGTTGTGACCAGTTACAGAACATAAAATACTGACATTCAGTTATAAAGCAGAGTATATATGATATTATATATTATATTTAGTGTATTATAAAATCTTGACCACTATTCACTGCCATTATAAAGCTTGGAAGAACCAGGACATATTTTTTTTTTATATATATACATATAACTTTGATGGTATTCATCTGAAGGAAGAAAGTGATATACACCTAGGATACACTAAATCATGGGGTAATTTTCATTTTTGGGTGAACTATCCCCTTAATCATCCATTACAATGAGAAAAACCAAACAATATAGTTCTGATGTGCAGCAAAAGATTGTTGAGCTTCACAAATTAGAAAGTAGCTGTAAAAAAAGAGCTAAAGCACTGAAAATTCCCATTTCCACCAAATCTGCCTGAAAGAGAACATGTCTACACTGTCTTAAAGCAAGGCGAGGAGGACAGTTTGAATGGCCAAAGATTCTCCAAGGATCACAGCTGGAGAATTGGAGCAAATAGTTGAGTCTCTTGAGCAGAAAGTAAAAAAAATATATATATATATATATATCAAACAGCTCCAATATCACTACAATTTTTGGAGGGTTTCAAGAAAAAATGAAAATGCTCTCATCCAAAAACAAACTCCAGCATATTCATTTGCCAGACACTACTGGAACTTCAAACTGGACTGGGCTCTATGTTCAGATGAAAAGTACAAAATTAGATTTTAGCAGCAGACCCCCAAGATGGGTTTGATGCACACACGGATAAAAAAAAAAAAGTACTCAATGTGTACACTGTATACTGCCAGAGATCCTGGACAGATTGATGGCATCACGGATTTTATCAAACACAGACAGATAAAAAATCAAAAGACTAATCCCTGCTAGAAATCATATAATAGGCCAAGGTTGGATCTTCCAACAGGACAACGATCCAAAAACAAACATCAAAATCAAAACAAAAATGGATCACTGAGCACAAAATGAAGCTTCGGCCATGGCCATCCCAGTTCCCTGAGCTGAACCCTGAAGAGGAGAAGCACCCACATGGAGCTGGGAGTATCTGTATGAAGGAATTGTCTCTGATCTCTTGCCAGATGTTCTCCAAACTCATCAGGCAATATAGGTGAAGACTCGAGCTGTTATCTTGGCAAAAGAAGACTGGATCTTAGCGCTGCGTTCGACACTATTGACCACAACATTCTTTTGAATAGATTAGAAAACTTTGTTGGCATTAGTGGAAGTGCATTAGCATGGTTCAAATCGTACTTATCTGACCGTCATCAATTCGTAGCAGTCATCAATGAAGAGGTATCATATCGATCACAAGTGCAGTATGGTAATGACCTAAAAAACTCTCTAACACTTGATGGCTGCTCTGTCAATTCTTCGTCACCAGTTAGGAACCTTGGTGTGCTATTTGATAGCAATCTTTCGTTAGAAAGCCACGTTTCTTTTAAAGGATGAGATTAAAATTAAAAATTTAGATGATATTCACCCTCTGTTGTGTTTTATGATTAAAGTTAGTCAAATGAACAGAGTAGATAACTTGATAGGTCGAATAAATAATATATTCAAAGAAATTAAGGATACGGGTTTATATAATATTAAAACAAAATGGGAAATTGAATTAGATAATAAAATAACAGAAGGAGATTGGAAACAAAGTTTAAAAGAAAATGTAAGAACTACGCAATCTCCATATTGGCAAGAGTACGCAGATCAGATGGTCATTGCAGTCACCCGGATCCAGTACATATCCAGACCAGATGGTGGATCAACACCTAGAGATGACCTCGACAGCCCTGAATGTCAGCGGAGATCAGGACAACTAGATGAGCCCTAGAGACAGATCCCCAGTAAAGACCTTTTCTCAGACGACCACCGGGACAAGACCACAGGAACCATATGAGTCCTCTGCACAATGTGACTTTGCTGCAGCCTGGACTTTGCTGGTTTTGTCTGGTCAGAGGAGAACTGGCCCCCCGACTGAGCCTGGTTTCTCCCAAGGTTTTTT